TGGAGGGAAACAGCAGCCCTCGCATGATCCATCACACACTCACCTCATTTAAATGCAATTCAATTTAGCCAGACCCTTTGGCACAAGAATGGGAAAGATGACTTAACAAAAAGCACAGAAGAATACTTCTGACCCCAGGTGTCAGCTGGATTTGTGTGTGACATTCACACAGGAGCTGTCCAAGAAAGCCTGCAGCCATTCATTGCTAGGCTGCAATTAAGGTGGCAGCCAATGTTTAAAACCTTCCTCATCCCATTCCCCCCCCTTTTCTGGCCACGTTTTAAATACAACACAGAATGAAAAATAAAAATAGACTGCTGTGCCCTGCCCCACATGAGGCTGGGCCAGGATGAGTGGATTTCTATGCAAACAACACACAGAATGCTTTCCTTTAATCAGTTTGTTGCCTGACACAGATAGGAAGATTAAATGAAGTTAACTGTACGGTTTTCAAGCCACCATTCAGCCTTTCAGTTGAGACAGATGACTTCTACTTACAGTGCTTCTTCCTCTGGCATTCAGTGGAAAATCTGGCAATCCTCTCTGGGTCTGGTTCTCAGCAATTCTCTGACATGGGGGCAGTTAGTGTCTCCATTGCACATAATAGAACTGTAGAAGCCAGAAAAAAAATGGCTCTACTCTAGCCAGTTTACCCCTTTCCCATCTGACAGAAGATTTTCTTCCCTGCTCCAAAGGCCAACACACCCTGATCTCCTCCAGTGAGTATGGCAGGCACAGCACACAAATGCTCAGAGTCCCCTAATGTTTGCAAAAAGTATCAAATTGCCCCATTACTGCCCTTCTCAGGGAGTAAGAGAGCCCCAGTTTAAGCAGGGCAAAGAGGCAGCCCTACCATTGTGTGACTGGGGCTGCCTCACCTGATCCAGGGTGGGGCACACAGCACTAGGGGGTAAATGGGAAGTTACAGCCCTTCCCATCCCCCAGCAAACCTGGGAAATGACACTGGATTCTGGATTAACCCAGCCATTGTAACCTCACTTCTGCCAGAGGGTTACTCCTGATTTACACAGGTGAAGTTAGACCCAGGTATCAACTCCAATGGACCTGATTCTGTTCATGTTTACACCACCACAACCCAATAATAATGTTAAATAATACACAATTAAAAGTCAAATTACTCACTGTTACTTGGTGAGTAGTCATAGCAACTTCTTTCCTTTCCCAGCAATAAATCCAGTATCTGCTGATACTGCCAGGCATTGATGAGGTCTGGAATGGAGTATTATGGGACAGGTAAGTATGAGGGTGATGGTCACACTTGTCAGACCAAAGGCACTGCAACATCTCTCTCTGAGTTGCCTTTTGGGCTGAAGGCATTTCTCGAGAGCTTTTCCAGCTCCATGCAGATCCTTTGCTCCCACTGACTTGACTGCAGCTCACCTGCTGCTCTCTCTGACCCTCTCCAAGTTCCCCCTCAGCACCTCACTCTGTGTACATCCCTGCCATGATGGGAATCAAGGCACAGGGACCAAAACAAGGCTAAACCACACAAAAGGAACAACCTCTGCAACAAGACTTGGATCCTGCTGTTGACAGAAGGGTGCTGGCTCCTGGACTAATTACAAAGTGCTGAATTTGGAGACATCTTGTGCATAATATATTGATTTTTTCCTTGGAACATGGTCCAGGTCTCAGTTGCTCTTCTACGTGCTCCAAAGGCAGAGTTTTAACGCTGCAGGCAGCGAGAGCACCAGGAGATGGAAGCTATACCTGAGGCAAGCTCCACTCTTCTGAGACAATTACAGCTATAAAGGTTTAGCATAAAGCTCAGGAGAGCAGAAAGAAGAACACTGTCAGTCACAAGCTTTTAATTCTGAAACTGGCTCCTAAAAAAGATAAGATAAAGCCAAACCAGATTAACCAACTTCAAAGCAAGCAGCAAGGCATTTAGGGCATGCTAGAATAGAATGCAGCTGTGCAGAGCACTGATGAATTAAACAGGTAGAGGTTCCTTAATGACTTGCTCCTTGTTCCTTCCAGGTTTTTGGAAGTCTCCTGTGATTAGTCCCATCCCCTAAATGAGATTACAGCACCCAGGTGATGCAGCAGTGCCTGCTACAGAAATGTTGAAGAGGCTGATTGAGGCGAGCTAGCAGGAGCTCTGTGGAACAGCCTTCCCCAATTAGTTATCCAAGGAAGAGTGATACTGAATGACTCTTACAAAGGACACACAAAGCACTTCTTGTTGAGCTAATCATCAACTTTCTAAGTAAAATTAACCAATGTGCTAATTAAGGCTCATGACAATTCATCATGACAGTAACTCTGCACTGCAGTGATTCATCAGCCGGTCACCGAACTGGGGGAGGGCTCCTTCCCTGCTCTGAGAGTCCTGCCCTGACTCACCTGGGCTGGATCGGGATGGCTGCTGCTTCCCAAAGGAATTTAAAAGGTGGGGGAAAGAAAATGGGAGGAAAAGAAGACAGGGAGAGGGGGAAAAAAAGGGGGTGGGTGGAACACCAGGCAGTTTGAGAGAGAAATAATCTTTTTTAAAATCGGTATGGGAAAAATAGTTGCCTTTTCTAACATTTGATTTGGATGATTTGAAATTAAGCAGGTAGGTCTCATGGGTTCTAAGTGGTACATTTTGCATTAACATCTGTCCAGCCCATGGCAGGGGTCAGTCTCCTGCTGAAGAAGGAAGGAGCAGAGAGGGAATGATGCCTCTGCTGACTAAGGAGACACAAAGAGAAGTTGGGAGGCTGCGGGGATTTGGTGCCTCCTGCTCTCTGGAGCTCCCACCACCTGGACCTTCACTCCCTGGGGCTCCCAGCACGGCACACCCCCCTCATGGAGCCTGCCCTGGAAGAGGAGTCTGTGAGCACAGAGCCCTCCTGAGGCACAGCCATACCTCCCCTCCTTTGGGCAGTGGCCAGAAGACCCTTCCCCTACAGCAAAGCAACCCTGAAAGCTTGAATTGCACACACAGTGTGACTCTTGGATCCTCAGAGGCTCTCTCAGCCTTCTAAACACCTTCCCTTCTTCAAATGGATTATCTTTCACCTATTTAACCCGAGACACCAAACTCCATGACTCACCCAAAATCTCAACACTTCCTTGTGCCCCTGCCATTTGTCCTTATTCAAGGCAAGAAAGAACACCAGTATCAAGAGATTTGTATTTTATGTTCCTCTCTGGTGTAGCCTGACTCACTTGAACACCACAATTTGACCTCCTGAATCTCAGGTTCAAAAAATGCAGACAAATCAATTCCCAGGGGCTTCAGGGTGCACATGTCTCCTCTCCAGGGGGTTCTGCAATGAAGGATTAATTAGCTGAGGAAATTCACAGCACTACAGCTGCAGTGCTACAGGCAGGGCCACACCAGGGGAGCCCCAGGAGCTCCTCCAGCTTCCCAGCTGAAGCACAGCAGCAGCATCACACACTGGGGGAGCAGCAGCCTCCTGGCCCCCTGCGATGTCACTGCAGGGGCAACACTCAGCACAATCCCTGTGCTCAGCTCAGTGATTTCTGAGGGCAGGGCAGCCCACAGGGCTCTCAGGGAGCAGCTGTGAGGGCTGGGCTGATATTGCAGAGCCCCCCAGCACAGCTCTCAGCACCCCATCTTGTTGTGCCCACAAAGGCAGCTGAGACCATGGAGGTGTCTCTGAGCACCCCAATCACCTGCCAGCCCTAAATGGAACATTTTAGATTTAACCATCCTGAGCTGACCCCAGCTAGCTCCACCAGCCTCCCTAATTTAAAGCACAACCTCTCTGAGTCCTCTCCTTGCTTTGCTGCCTGATTTGCCTCCAGGACAGGCTGTGTGATGTAAACCAACCTGCTTGAGGCTGGATTTTTCTGGAGCTGGGAGGATTTGGCACCTTTTATTACTCACTTGTAAGGTGAGTCCCAGAAATACCACAAACAAGCCCAGCAGGCTGGCTGAGGAGGGAAGGATGCTCATCAGCCATGCTCTGTTCCTTGGATAAAGGGCATTAATCTAAGCCTTTGCACCTCTGGAGCAGTGAGAAGAGCCTGGCAGCACCTCCCAAGGACCTGCTGCATGTCTGAGCTTTGACATCTTCTTCCAAAGGGTTTCTTCAGCTCAGCTTGCTGTTTGTAAGCAAATCTCACAGCAAAATCCTGTCTGGCAGAGCAACGGGCGCAGTGATCACAACATCCACCAGCCCAGGCAGGCGTAGGGATGTGTTCCCAGCTGTGCCTCCACAGAAATCCATCCATCCATCCATCCATCACACAGGAACAGGACAGGAGAGAAGGGACAAGTCAGACAGCAACTGCTGGCATCAACTCAAGTGGCACCCAAGCCAAACTGTGTCAGCAGTGTGAGACTGCCACAGCATCCAGCAGCCATGAGCTCCTCCCTGGGAACGTGCTGCCTCACTCTGGGACATGGGAAAAGGGAATGGCTCTAAATCATCACTCACAGAGGGCAGAAGTACACTCCAGAGGGGAAATGCCTGCATGGGGAGGACAGTGAATGTAAAGAGTAGAATTCTCCCTGCCCCCCCTAAGCAGTGTACCCAACTGAGAATAAAGCAATTCATCACAACGCCTTCAGTTTGAAGTCTACACTTTTGGCTGTGGGGGCTCCTCTGGAAGGACCAGATGTGCCTCATGGCACTCAATGAGGCAGGTGGGAGAAATTAAGGGGCACATGGCACATGAGAAGGGGCTAAAAAGCTTCATCTGTGCAAGGTCTAAACTACATTTAGTACTACAAGGTCCAAGTCCATTCTTCTTCAGCCCGCAGGCTCAGAGGAGCTCGGGCTCGAGGTTGTGTTTTTAGGCTCTTGTAAAGCACACAAGAAGAGAACCCCGATTTCTCTAATCCTGCAGGATGGGGCAAAGCCGTGCAGGCAGACCAGAGGCTCCAAGGCTGACAGATGAGGGTAAAGCTCCCAGGTGTGATGGGCTGTGCTCCCTGACAAGCCACACGTGGTCCCAGTGCTGTCCCTGGGGGTTAAAAGCGGCACAGGAGCAGGGTTGGGAGCTTTGTGTCGGTGGCTGTGCCCATGGAGGGCGTATCGCCGCTGGAGCGGTACCTGGAGAGCGGCAGCGGGCAGGTAAGGGAGGAAGGAAAGAATCAAGCGAGGAGGGGAAAAAAAGAAAAAGCTAAACAAAAGGAAGCTGCGTTGGCCGGGAATCGAACCCGGGTCAACTGCTTGGAAGGCAGCTATGCTCACCACTATACCACCAACGCTGCGCTGGGAGCAGCCCCGCAGCCGCACCTCAACTGCGTCATTACCGCAATCCTGCCGGGCTGAGCCCGAAATTCCGCTGTCCCGGGGGGTTCCTGCTGTCCTGGAGCTGCCGGGACTATGGAGGAGCTCTCTGGAGCGGGAGGTCGCTTTCACTCCCTGCTAAGAGGGGTGATGCGGCCGCGTTTAAACGCTTGCGGTGGGGTGCTGCCTGCGAGGGTCAGCCCGGTGCTGGTGTGGGTGGGCACCGAGAGGGCAGCAGGCTCACATCTCCTGTTCTGGTTAGTAAATGTGTGCAAAAATTCATTATTTCGGTGTTTGGAATGGTCGTTCTCTACCCACCATAAGCAACATGTAAATCCCATCATTCCCTTTTCTGCTCCCCCAGCCAACCCAGTAAGATGTGCTCTTCAGAGGGTTGAGGAAGCATTCCAAAGAAACGCTTGAATAAAGGTGCTGTTTTGTTTAAGGAGCCTTGTGCAAATGTGTAAATTCCTAATTTTCAACAGGAAAAGCTGTTGTAAAACAGCGTAATTCAAAGGAAAAGCCAAGTGTGTTGGTTTAGTTGGACTCGTTCTGATCTCAGGCGGTTGTAGGAATAACTGGGAGAGGGCTGGACTCTACAGCTGAGCATCATCGTTACTCAGGGAACAAAACTTCTTTACATCCTGTTGTAAAGTACTTTTCAGCTCAGAAAATAGGCTTAGCACAAGCTGTTTAAATCCAGAGACCATCCCGTGGCAGTGGGTAAAGCCCTCTGAATGTGCTTTCACAAAGTATATAATGTGGTAATGCATAATACAGCTTTTATAAGTGCTCATGAGCTTTTTATATTTCATGTTTGCTGGTACCCTTGATAGTAGCAGATGTGTGTGATATTACTGCAGGGAGGAAAAGAAAAAAATAGTCCAAGTCTGTTGCTTAAGGCAGCTGGATTTGATTTGTGTCTACCTGAGTTGCAGGGATTTCTGCAGTGGAAGTGAAAAAGGCTGTTTTCCCCTCAAGCTGCCCCAAACTGAGGGATCTCAGACAGGATCTGTGAGTGAAATCTCCTCCCTGGAGCTGCTGGGAGATGTCCAAGGCTATGCAGTTGGTGGGGCCTTGGTGAAGTTAATTAACCCAGAGTCTATAGCAATAACCCTTGGCAGCCAGCCCAATGCAAACATGGTCTTGTGCCCCTTTTGCAGCCTCTGAGCATCTGTCTGACAAGAAGGAAATATTCTCCACTACTTAACCCTATCAGGGCTTTTCCTCAGACCTCTTAAGTGCAAATCTGATCAGAAAGAAAAATTTGCTTCCTGTTTCTACCTGCTTTATACAACTTACTCTACTTTTTGAAAACTTCACAGCTGTGTGATACTTCCAGCCTCATGTACCACTTGTTTCTCTATCATCTTCTTTAAGAAATGTCACAAACTGGCTTTGGTTGTTTGTTTGTGGATGTTTTTTTTACTGTTATGATCATTCTTTGATGCCCATTAGTATGATGTGAGTAGTCTCACAGGGAGCTTTTGTATCATTTTCTCTACATTGTGGTTCCTACAAAACCTTCCTAATGAGCTCCTGTACAGCTAATGCTTAGTCCACTGGAATTCTTGCAGAGACTGTGACTTCCTTTCCTTGCTGCTGCCTTGAAAAATATCTATTTAAAATAGATGTATTTTTGTGATTCCATAATATTTTACTTGTAACTGTTAATTACATATTTGACCCTTTTTTCTAAAGGGTAAAGGACTACCTAGACTTATTCAACAGCACCCTGCCCCACCAGATCTTCTGTGGGGCTCTGCATTTAGAAGTCAGTTTTAGAAGCAGTTTTAATTGTGGGTGTTGGCAATGCTTTCGTGATTGCATCTGTAGTCAGGCTAGTGAGGGTTCTCTGGGAGGATCTGTCACTTTGTCAGAGTTTTCCAAGTGTCTGCAGGCAGATATACTGCAAAGGAGCAGCAGAGATCTCCCCATGTGCATGGCTGGGTTGCCAAGTGAGCTGACTAGAAGAGAGCAGCGCTAGCTTAGGGCTGGGAAGCACTGATCTGGAAATCCTGCTCCTGCTGGAGGTCAGGCACTTGCTGCCAACTCGAGGGCCTCAGTCTCACGCACCATTCCCTGTTCCGATTTGTGCTTGGACTTTTCAAGTCTTTCTGGCTCTTGAACCTAAAAATGCCTGATTAAACACAAAACCTCTTGTATGGGTTCTTTAGTCCAAGCTGTCACCTGCTGTGGATGTTGGCAGAAACCACCTTCAGAAAGAGGCTTATGCACCAGAGAGGGAATAAATCCTGCCCTGAAACTCTTGCCTCATTGACATGATGATGCTTTTAATAATAAATAGTTGATAAAGAGGGCCATCAGTATGAAAGAGCTCACTTGCAGGTGTGTTGTGTGCTTGGTTCTGCTGACTGTGCTGAGGCTTTTTTTAGTCCCATCTTCTCATCTATAGCTTCACTCAGGCTGGTGGCCTCCAGGAGCTGAGGAATTAATTGCTGCTGGTTCTGTGAGCTGCTGCCCTCTGTTGCACAAAGCAAAGCTGACACTGTCCCCTGCTAGCAGAGAGAGGAAATGGAATAATATACAGAATGGGAGAGAAAACAGCCAGAAAATGCGGTCTTCCTTGGAAAAACTCATGAGTGTGATAATGTGGTTGTGTGAGTGGCTGAAGTGAGGCAGTGGCTGTAAAGGGTGAAGTGCCACTCTTGTCCCTGCATTTCTCAATTTGTGCTGTCCCAGGAGCTCTCTAGAGTGATGAAACCATGGACTGTGGTGAAAATGCATTATACAAGCTATCTGGATTTTTATATGCTCACAGAAAAGCAAAGGGCATGCTTTCAACCTTAAAACTAGTATTTGCTAAAATATACACTGGGGGAAAATTATTGAAACTTTCTCATTGAAGATTAATCTTAATTTACTCTCCCTGTTATAGTCATTGTTTTAATACAAAACCCTTAATGACACTTTTTCTTAATTCAAGGATGACTTCTCCACTAGTCCTCATCTGTTCACTCCTATGAGCCCTTATGATTTAGAACTTCCAATTCAAGCATCTTCCCAGTTAAGTCAGTCCAAGGAGCTCCATACAGACTTCTCCTCCGTGGACCTCAGCTTTCTCCCAGATGTCACCCAAGATAACAAAGAACAAAACCTCTCTGAGGATGGTCATGAAACCCAAAAAGAGCATGATGGGTCACTACCAAGTAAGGAGGAGAGTGGTGTTTTCATGGATGAAAGCAGCTTGTCACATCCAGGTGCAGCTCAGCCATCTCCTGAAGCACCTGGCGTGTGTCCTCCCCTGACTCCAATAACTCCGATCACCCCGGCGACATCTGCCTCAGAAAGTTCTGGAATAGTCCCCCAGCTACAGTAAGTTATGTGTTATTTATGTAGCACACACACCACAGTCAGAGTTTGGTTTAAACTGCAAGGTGTTGCTCTGATTTTTCACTTGGAGAATGTAGCAAGCATGGCTTGGTCTTAAATAAGCCAAAAAACTACAGGAGTAGCTTTTTGTAGGAGTAGGTTTGGTTTTATTTCTCCTCTTGAAGGGGAGAGGTGGAGAAAATGAACTGACAATTGGATAAAAATATGAATATATTGAGAAGGAGGATTTCCTCCAGGAAGGAGAATGTGAAGGATGACAGCAGACTCCAGGGGTTAAATGATGTCACTCTGCCTTTTCAAAAGGAGAAACAGAATTGAGTGTGAGAATCTCTGACCTCATTAAAAGATGCTGTCCTGTCTAGGAGAGAGCAAATCTGGAATAGTTTGTACCTGTAAAAAATAACCCTCCCCTACCTACTTTAGGTGCTGTAGTAACTCTAAATATTCAGTAATGGTTCAATCCCAAGTTGTGAAAGGCTTCAGTGATGCAGTTTTTGGAAGACACACAAACTTACAATTCAGAGACTAAAAATTTCACACTTTGTTCTATCTCAAAGTGCAGTTTTGGATTGAATTACTTAAGTTTTGCCAGAAGTAGCTTAATGCTTGAGTGGGGAAGAGACAGGCAGGAAATCAGTTGATGACAATTATTAATTGGAATATACTGCTGGGGGGTGGCTCTGCAGTGGCTGGATTTTGCAATGAGAAAATTCCTCCCTTATTCCTCAGGAATATCGTGTCAACTGTAAACTTGGCTTGTAAACTGGATCTGAAGAACATAGCTCTGCATGCCAGAAATGCAGAGTATAACCCAAAGGTAAATCTTGGACTCAAAGCTTTACCCTCACTTCCCTTTCCCAGTGCTGATGGAACATTTCCCAGTGTTCCTGTGACAGTGGTCTTAACTCTCCTGCTCCTAGGTGGCTGGGAAACTTCAGGGTGGGAAAGAAAAATTTAAAAAGCAAATATGTGTTGTGACAAGCTTTGAAAATATTAATTGTTGCAAGACTGAACAGAAATACAGCTTAATTCCTGTCAGGTTTTCCTTTGGATTTGTAGAGGTTTGCTGCTGTGATCATGAGAATCAGGGAACCACGAACAACAGCCCTTATCTTCAGTTCAGGAAAAATGGTCTGTACAGGAGCAAAAAGGTATTTTTCTGGTTTTTCTCTTCCCTCTAAAGGTCTGGGTCTTGCAGCTACGCATATATTCTGATGGAGAATGTCTGAAAAGTTTTGCTTAAAACATCTAGCAAAGGACTAATTGCAAGAAAAAGTGAAGCACTGATATTGAAAATCTTGCATTCTTCATGGTGGCACCTTAGCAATTTTTGAACAGTGTACTTCTGTCCCTGAATTTAGGTTGAGCTGGGCAGACATCAGTAGAAAAGCTGCTGAAATTCCCAGAAATTGTTAAGGGATTATTTGCATTTCTCACTGATTTTTAAAGTGTTTAGGACATAACTTGTGTCTGTCAAGTCTCTCTTCAGTGTCTGTGTTCACCAGTCAACACAACTGCCTCTAGAGGAAATGGGAATTGGGGAAAGCAAAAGTTTATTTCTGTACACTGAAGCTTTTTTTGCCTGAAGTTCAGCAGAGACTGCTTTGGTTTTTATATCCCAAAACAGTCAATTAGAATTAATTAATTCATGCTTCAGAGACCTCCAGCCCCTACCACCACCCCAGGTAGGTGACTGTACTGGTGCCTGCAGTCTAACTCCTGGATCAGCGCTGAGCTGTTTTGGGGAACTGAGAAACCTCTCAAAAGGGGAACCTCTGAGTGATGAAACATCTCCAGTGGGTTCAACCAGACCACAGGAAGGTGAATGAACAAGTGCCTTACTCCTTTTAGCTCCCTGCAGCAGTTCTGGGGAGGGAGCCTTGCTATTTTGAGCGGCAGGATCTCTTTTTCCGGAGTGCAGATTAGCACAGTGGTGGCTATAAACTGAATCCCACCTCAAGAGCAGAGGAAAGCACAAATAAGTGTTATTTTAACGAATAAGTCAATAAGTTGTTTTTCCCCTTTGCTCTTCCTTCAGTGAAAAGCCTCATCCCTGGAAGTGTTCCAGGCCAGACTGGACAGGGCTTGGAGAGCCCTGGAATAGTGGAAGGTATCCCTGCCCATGGCAGGGGGTGGAACAAGATGGGCTTTAAGGTCTTTTCCAGCCCCAGCTATTCTGGGATTCTGTGATTTGAGGGCTGTTTGGAGATTACAATGAAGGTTTCTTCCCTCAGTGAAGAGCAGTCGAGGCTGGCAGCCAGGAAATACGCACGGGTGGTGCAGAAGCTCGGCTTCCCTGCCAAGTTCTTGGACTTCAAGATCCAGAATATGGTGGGGAGCTGTGATGTGAGGTTCCCCATCCGCCTGGAAGGCTTGGTTCTCACCCACCAGCAGTTCAGCAGGTAGGAGGAGATCAGGTACAGCCCTGTGCACCTGGCAGCAGGGTCTGAGGCCACTTGAGCCTGGTCTGTGCCTTTGCTCTGATGCCTTGTGAAGGCTGACCTAGAACAGAGTCTGGACAGGGTTAAAGAATAAAGCAGGGATTTATTCAAAGGCCTCCATGGATCCACCTTGGGCAGCACAAGAGCCCAGCCAGGGCTACACCCCAGGTGAACCCAAAATGGATCACCAGTCACAGGGTCTCACACTTTTATAAGTTCTGCTCCATGTGCACATTGCAGTTCAGTGTCCAATTCCAGCTCAGCCCCTGCACTCCCATCCTGCTTGTTTTTCTCTCTCCAGCCCACGGGGTTTGTGCTCCTGGGCTGAGATTTGGATCATTTGTCCTTGGTCCCCAGCTGGAGCAGGAATTGTTTTGTCTCCCTGCTCTGTGCAGAGAGCTCTCCATCCCCTAATGTGAAGCCCAGACCCACATAAAGCAGCTCAGAATCTGAAAAATACAAAAGCTAAACCTGAGGCATCAGCTCCACTGTGGATTTTAATACCAAGGTGGCCTCTTAACTACCAGCAAAGCAAATTCCTGTCTGCAGGGATAAGGTTTCCAACCTTCAGGCATGAAGCCAAACTGCATTTGCAAAATACAGAATTGCAGGTATATTGTGTGTTTCTGGGATATTGTTTCAGTGCTGTTTGGATGTTCTTCAGCCAAGAATTGAAAGTAAAGCTGTAGATGAGTGAGGGCATGTTGTACCTGTGAGATCAGCTTGTTCAAAACTAGATACTGCCATCAGGAAAGGAGGATTCCAGCACTGACAAAGCCAAAATTCAGTTGTCTTTTATTAGCACTGCATCTAATAGTTTGCATTTCATTTAGGAATAGATATATATTAAATATTTACATTGGCCGTTATCTTGTCTTAGTTGCACAGGATGCTTCCTGATAAGGGCTCTTTGCAGATTAAGAAGGATTTTCCATGAGGGTGGGCAGGCCCTGGATCCCTGGCAGTGTTCCAGGCCAGGCTGGATGGGGCTTGAAGCAACCTGGGACAGTGGAAGGTGTTCCTGCCCATGGCAAGGGGTGGAATGAGGTGACTTTTAAGGCCCCTTCCAAACCAGGCCATGATTCGAGGACTGAAGATTATAAGAAAGGTTCCAAGGCCATGACAAATCAGAAGTGGCTCACAAGTCTTTAAAAGTCAGCATGAAGATCCCCCACCAGCTCCAGCTGGGTTTAACAGGTTTCTCTTCAAGATGTCCAAAACCTGACCTGAACCTTTTTCAGGGGAGTTAGATAAAATCAGTGCGGTTAATTACCCTATTGCTACTGTAATTAAAGAGCACTTCATTCATACAACACTGAAACAGCATTTGCATTTTACTAATCCCACCTGCTTGCTTTGAACAGCTATGAACCTGAACTATTCCCTGGCCTGGTTTATAGGATGGTCAAACCAAGGATAGTGCTGCTTATCTTTGTGTCTGGGAAAGTTGTACTGACTGGTAAGTGCTGCCTCTCTGTGCCTCTACCCACTGCTTCACTTTCTGAGAGCATTTAAATTAAACATTAACTAAAAATCAGTGTCTTGCCACAGTAAAGCCACTCAGGGATCTTTCTAATGGCTGCTGCAGCTTTATCTGTGTTTTCTGCAGATAACATCAGTATTGTTGCACTAGAATCTTGTATTGTTTCATATACAGAGTCTCAGATTTCCATGTTAAGTATTTTTTTTATTCAAAGCCTGGTGCCACGTGCCAATGCAGAGGATGCCAACAGGATGCTGACATGCCAGCAACTACTCAGGCACTTAAATAGGAACCTCACAATAAGCAATTTAAAATTGCTTGGACAGGAAACAAACTTCTTAAAACACTTCACTGACAACATTTAGTAGGGATTATCAGAGGAAAGGGTGGAGATCTAAGAGCTTGTTCCAGACTGGCAAAAAAGTTGTGAGGCAAAAGCCTTGCTGAGTCAGTGTGCTCAGCAGATGCCTGTACCTCAGATCCCAGGTGACTTTTTCAAAAAAGGTGAATTCCTGAGCTCCTGGCACATCCTTTTTGTGAAGCTCATGGAAATGCTTCTATTCAGATGTACTGAAAGGTAAATGGTGCTTGCTCCCAGAAGCTCTAAATGTGGTAATCCTATTCACAACACAGCTTTGAGACATGGGGAAGGCAAGAGAAGTGCCTGCCTTAGCCAGAGATTCTCACAACCATAAATCAGGAATGAGCTCAGCCAACTGAAGGATGGGGCACTCAGGACAAAGTTTAAATGCTTCCCCCTCCAATGTCCACAATTTACTTAGGTCCAGTAAAATTATACTGGTCAGTTCCATTCCACTGATGCTTGCATTTTTTGGGGTACACTAATTGTAATGGCCTTGCTGCACGCTCAGTCCTTTGCTCTGAGTCCTGGGCCCAGCTGTAATGACAAAACTGAATTTGCTGAGATGCGAGGAGGGTTTTTTCCCCTAATCAAGAAAGTAACTTTACTTTTGAAAGTAAAAGTTGTGGTAAGGCAGATGAATTATTCGTGTCCAAGTGAGGACATGAGAAAAGGTTTACACATTCAACCTAAGCAGGGCTTAATTCCACTTTTAGTTCATTTAAATGCAGTTTGCTTCTAGCTGATGTTTGTTGGACCAGCATGAGTAGTGTTGCTGGCAGGGAATGTTCCTGCCTACTGCAATGCAGTTTGTGTGCAAAACTTGGTATTAAAGATATGTTTACAGTACCACAGAAAAGGATTTGAAATCAAAGGTGTCCTAACACACAGCTTAAAATTAAAATTGCTGCTCAGAGCTGGAGAAGGAGAGTTCTCAAACTGTGGGACAACTCCCAGTATGAAAGAAGGGCCTTTCAATTCTTGTTTCTACCTTTCCACTCACCTTATGAACAGGCAGAGCTGTTATTCCTTAAGCAAATAACACCATGGTGGTGCTCAGATGCATTTTTTTCTTTCTTCAAAGCCAATATTTTGCACCTGTCAAGAGCAGAAAATTGTTTTTTTTGTTCCACAGATTAAACAAAACTAGTCTTAAAGCTAAGCAAGCTAGGAATTGCTCTTTGAGGTGGCAGATAGAAATTCTGTATTTAATAGCAAGGTGCTTTCAGTCTTCTGGGTTTCTTCATGGTTAATCTTACTGGGTTTAAACTGTGTTTAGTTTAAGTTCAGCACTCTGTTAATTCATGGAGTTTTTTTTTCTTAAATGTCCATTTAGGGGCAAAAGACCGTTCTGAAATCTATGAGGCATTTGAGAACATCTACCCCATTTTAAGAGGTTTCAAGAAACCATCGTGACACAGCTCCCAAAGCAATCCAGAATAACACCTGGGCTTGTGCTGCTGTGCATGGAGCAGAACCAAGGGCACTCCTGGACCCATTTGTGGATTATTAAGCAAATGATTCATTTCTGAATGCCACGTATGCTGATGCCTTTCTGTAGCTTGTGAAATGTTCTTTTCTTTCAGATTATCTGTCTGTAATCCACCTGAGTTCTGACAATTTCTGTCAAGTTAAAACACTTGATAAATGAATGCACTTTTAACAGAATGTATGTTAAGGTGGCACTTAAAAATATTTTGTAATAGAAGCCATGTGTCTCTTTCCCTCTTGAACAGGTGAATCCACACTGCACTTCAAATTGGCTTAATCAGCATCCTCAGCTCTAAGTGTCCTGAATTGCTCCTGCAGTGTTGTAGTTTCATATTTAAGCTCAACATGTATTATTGTGTATAACATGGCTTACACAATCCTTTATGAGTTGATTTTGGTGGTTAGAACACAAGTGCTGGAATCACTCTGATCCCACTGGCTGGATAAACTCTTGTGTGTGAGGGTACAGGATTTTCTTTCACAGAGGAGACATTCCAGGTCCTGGCTGCTGGGATATACCTAGAAAATCTGTGGGTGGAGGGGTGTAACTCATTAAATTGTCTAATTTGATATGGGACAAGTTAGATTTTAATCAAATGGTACCCACTTGTGTTACTCCCTCAGATGATGGGAGTTTGGTGCATGTTGGTTTAGAACTTTGTTAAAAATGGATTTGAGGAAAATACAAAAAGTCTTGGATGCTCATGACTTACTTATCTCTGTTATTTAACCAGAGTTCAGCCAATGGTCCTACATTTGGTAATTTTGGAGCAGAACCAATGAGGTTTCCTGTACTTGGTTTGAACTCAAGCCTTTCTTTTCAGAAGGTGTCCTGCTCAGCGTGGTGCAGGGAGCAGGAACAGTGCAAAGCCTATCCCATGGCTGCTCTGGAAAGCCCCTGGAAGCAAGCCACAACAGTTCTGCTGTGTCCTTCCCTCCTGAAGGTGTTGCTACCTGTCTGGAAACACCACTAGAGGTTGCTCTTAGATGACTTAAGTGTAAGCCAGGCCAAAATCCTCCTCGGTCCTTGCTGGAAATACTCGGCTCAACTCAAAACAGGGTCCTGCTGGGCTGAGTTTTGCTGCCACAAAAGTTTATTTCTGATTCGGTGAGGGTGTAGCTTCATCTTCTGTATCTGTTATGTGTCTCTCACAAGTGTTTTTATATCTATCTCCCTGCAAACTTTGAAAAGCTTGGTGCACTTCCTCATGATAAGCTGTTCTTAGCTGTTATCAGTTTCTGTCAAACTGTGGATTTCCACACTCAAATCTATTTTAAACACAGGCTTACTTTTCTGTTTGCTTTCTAACGTTGGAGACTTCCCACAACCATGGGCTGGACTTTTATTTGCACTGTAGCTGCAGTAGCAGCTGATGAGCTTCAGTTAGAACAATCTTTTGTAAGTGAAAACACCCTGGTTTTATTGAGGTATTGGGGGGGGGAAAAAAGTTTATCTAAGATGAGCCCTCTTCAAGAAATCACATTTTGCTTAAGAGCTTGCCATGTGATTTCAGTGGTAAAATTAGTGCTCTTTGGAAGTACAGATAAAGCCTTAGAGATAAGAAATGGGTTCTGTGCCTTTTCACTGAGCTACTGATTAAGTTAATGTTTGCTATGGTAACTCTTGTCTTAAAAACAACAATCTTGGTTCTACCTCCACAGTGCTGTTCCTGCTTAGTGTTTGATAACCCTGGGAAGGGGGGAAGATATAGGCTGGGAATTGCTCTTGAAAAGAAAAGAAAAAAAAAAGAGTAATGTGTTGTTTTGCTGCAGTTGTGTTTCTTTTGGGAAGGGGCATATGGGGATATTGCTTAAGTTATTCTGGCTTCTGTGGACTCTGTCTCCTCTAATTGCCTACAGACAGAAGAGGAAATTACTTCAAACTGAGAGTAGGTTCATATTAGGAAATATTAGTTAGCAGGAAAGAATTTTTTACTCAGAAAAGGGGTGGTGAGGCCCAGGGTGCCCAGAGAAGCTGTGGCTGCCCCTGGCTCCCTGGAAGTGTCTGAGGCCAGGCTGGATGGGGCTTGGAGCAGCCTGGGATGGTGGAAGTGTTCATTTCGAGGTCGGGAGCTTGGAATTGGATGATTTTTAAGGTCCCTTCTCCTCAACCCTCCTTCATCCTGTGTCTTTAACTCCTCATCGTCGCTCCACCATGGGGGCTGGGTTGAGGCAACCTCTCTCTGCGCCGCTTTTCAGGCTGTGCATCGGTATTTGCCGCTTGGACAAAGCGATTTGGGTGTTACTGTAAATACACGCTTGGGAGCCGCAGTCCCCACAGCAGCGTTACTGCCTGGTTATACTACGGCTACCCGCTGTGAAGCCCCACGAGCCGCATAAAACACCCCTGTCGCTCCGGGACGATCCCAGCGGTGCTCCCTTTGCTCCTGCACAAGGCATAAGGGCGCAGTTTCTATTAAAAAGCAGGATTTTCCCGGCGGAGCGCGGCCCGTCCCGCGCCCTCCCCCGCTCCCGCCCGCCGCCTCAGCGCCCCTTCCCACAATGCCCTGCCCGGCAACAGCGTCCCACGTGACCCGCGGCCCCAACATGGCGGCTCCCAGCGGCCGCCGGCCGCAGCCCGCGGGGCCGGGCGGGGGCAGCGGCGCCGGACCCGGGGCTCTGCGGGGCGCCGAGGAGGACGCCGAGGGTCTTTACGTGGCGGTGGAGCGGTGCCCGCTCTGCAACACCACGCGCCGCCGCCTCACCTGCGCCAAGTGCGTGCAGAGCGGCGACTTCGTCTTCTTCGACGGGCGCGACTCCGAGAGGTACCGGCGGCGCTGAGGGGAGCGGGGCGGCCTCTGCCTGCCCTGCTGCGGGTCGCTGTGCCTCGGGGCTGGGGATGGGGGCCGGGTTGTGCCCCTTCCCCGCTGTCCCGGGGCTCGGGGGGCTCAGGGTGTGGGTGGGGAACGCTCCGGGGGCCGCCGGGCCCGGCCCGGGGCTGGGGGCGCACACAGCAGGACCCTCGGTACGAGCCTTGAAATAATAATAGTTTTAATAATAATAATTAAGGGGTCACCCCGAGTTTCGCTCGGTCATGTGCAGGTGTGTCCGTGTCGATGTAGCCACAGGAGCTCCAGGCAGTTCGGGGCACAGAGACCCGAGCAGTGTTATTTCAAACGGGTTTCAAACGGTTGTTTTCGTCAACGCTCCTTGTAACAGCAGTCCTCTAAATCGCTAAGCAAAATCACAAAGGTGTATAAGAAAGAAAATAAACATTTTCTTGTGCGTGTAGCCATAAATGTGGACAAGTATCCCCTTGAGCTCACGGTGGGCCATGCTGCTCCTTTTGGAGCGCTGGCTCTCCCTGGAGCAGCGCTGTGCCCATAAACAAATTTCCTCACGGGATGACTCAGACGGCTCCTCCAGCGCTGCTGTCCATCCCAGATTCTTCAAAAGTCCCCAGGGCCATGTCTGGAAGGGCTCCGATTCTTGGCTGGCACCGTGTTCTTGGTCCCTCGTTAGCAGCTGCTGGGAGTGATTCCTGGGGCTATTTTGGGAAGGTGGCGAGCAGCCACCAGTGTGTGGGGTGGCCGTGTCCTCGCTCCAAAGGCTCCTGGTGTCCCCAGGAACAAGGGGACAGCGGTGCCTTTCACCCACCAGCGTCCACGGGAGTGGGGAAATGCTGTCAGCCAGCGTGAGTCAGCTTGCAGAACTGAGACTTTAGTCTGTCACTGGATGGGTTTCCCTTTTGTAATGTAAAAAAGCTGTGTTGGAGAACCACAAACTAGATTTAGCCTGTCTAAAATAGGTGGAAAACGTGTAGTTGTGTGAGACTGCTTGGGGTTTTCTGCGGATTCTATTAAAAGGTTGGATATGGAGCTTGGAATATAAACCAAGTTTGGGTTTTTTTTCCTGTCTCTTTTGCGGCCTTAAGTTTTTGGCTAAACATCAGGTTTATTTATAAAAATTCAATTGTAGCCTTTGTTAGAGTTGAAGCTCTGTTGTTTTCTATTAACCAAGGCTTAAGAAGTCTTTGCCCATCAAGAAAATGAAGTCATAAAGAAGCAGCTTTAGCCAAAGTACCAGAAGCAGCAGTGTAAGAGAAAACCCTCTTTATCTTCTCACATGAGACAGGATCAGCTTTTCTGTCTGACAGTTGTCACTGCATCCTCCTGAGAAGCTTTCACTGCCCCATTTGTCTGTGGCTGGAAAGGCTCCTGTATATTTACCTTGTGTTTTTTAACTGCAAGGATTAAATCTCTTCTTTTTTTTTTTTCTTTTTTCTTTTTTTTCGGTCTTTTTTTCCACCTTCTCTGCCTGGACATCACAGTTCCATCCCTGGGGGTCACTGCTGTTTTATTTACCAAGCTAGCAAGTATTTTTTTTTCTTTTTTTCTTTTTTTTGGTCTTTTTTTCCCCCTTCTCTGCCTGGACATCACAGTTCCATCCCTGGGGGTCACTGCTGTTTTATTTACCTGGGGCTTTCCTACACACTCCATTTCCCCAGGCTTTGTTTCTCCTGCTGCTCAGAACTTTTCCATTAATTAATTGCAGTAGTGCAATTCATTAAAAATGGCAAATTTATTTTAATGAATTAAAGGAGTAGCTCACTTGTATGAATAACACAGTGTTAACAACCTAAATATCCTCAGTAGCTGCAGGAACACTGTGTAGGGACAAAAGCTTGGGTTTTAAGGATAATGGGATTATGTTTAAACCGTGCCTGAAACATTTTGTTTGCATTCTCTAATTAATATTTGGAATGACTGATTTAAGAGTGGGGAAGAGGTCAGCTTTCTTTGTTTGCTCTTTATGGGTGTCTCTGAATTTCTTGTGATGTGAGCCCTGGGAAAGGGGGAGATGTTTGAAGTGGTGACCAGGCAGCACCAGGGCAGAGCCACGCAGGGACAGCTGCAGTTCAGGGGCTGCCTTTCAGCTGGTGTTTACAGCCATCGTTGTTTATTTATTTATCTTATGCCTTCTAG